GTTCAGCAGTCAATATATCCCTTTCCTTTAACTGTAAGGCAAAATAACTAGGTTGATGTTCTGGGTTTCTCTTTAATCTGATGGTTGATGCGTAGCTGGCATCATCTTAGTTTCCGTCCTGATTAGTAATGCTGTTGTGTAGGGGACTAATTACTCCTGCTTCTTCCGCTCTGTGTCTGAACTTGTGCAGTGATTTGCTAATGAATATATACAATCAGCTTAATCCTCATGGCAGAGAGGAACTGTGACTTTGGAAACTTGAGATATTCTCAGACCAAGATCCTAATGAAATATAAGCTGATATAAGCTTTAATAGGAGTATGGTACCTAAACACTTCTAGAACTGCCTTCAGATTCTGTTTTCCAAGCTATTGCTAAACTGTACATTTCATCAGCTACCTGTAAGGATTTAGGAGGGTCCATGGAGAGATTTCCTTCTGAGTTGACCTGAAGTACTAAGAATCGGATAGTAATCATGATGTATCTCTTGCTTTGCAACATGCTTGGCTTTAGGAAATGTAAGTTACTACGAAAAATAACAGTGGAGAATGGAACAACCCATAACCATTCTGATTACAGAATACAAGTCTGGTTAATTCTTGTGGACTTAATAGCCATTTATTGAATGTTTTTATTTTCTGTCCTTGCAGATGGTTTGAAACCCCTTCTTCCAGTCTCTTTGCGGGGCCAGATAGACATGTTAATTCCCCGACAGTGCTTCATGCTCAGCTACGATCTGAACTGTGACAAGCTTTGTGCCGACTTCCAAGAGGACATAGAATTTCATTTCTCTCTTGGATGGACGATGCTGGTGAACAGGTTTTTGGGACCAAAGAATGGTCGTCGGGCCTTGATGGGCTATAATGACCAGGTAAGATACCTCATTGAGTGGTCGGGGTAGATGTGGTGTTCGTTATTTTAGTAGCTGCTGAAGTCTGTTTGGTGGGAAGGGCAGTGGCTTGTCTTCTCTTATTCTGTACTTTGTTTTTGTGTTGTTGTGCTTTTCTAATTAGGTTCAACGCCCTCTAACACCAGCAAATCCCAGTCTGCCTCCTTTGCCTCAGGGCTCTATGACCCAGGAAGAGCTCATGGTGTCGATGGTGACTGGACTGGCATCATTAACTTCCCGAACTTCCATGGGGATCATCGTGGTTGGTGGTGTGGTGCGTTGGCAATCTGAGCAGCATTCACTTAAATAATGTTGGAGCGCTGACTTGAAAAGTGCTTGCGCTGCTGAGTCCTATAGATATTTGCTATTCACAGATAGTGAAATACTTTCTCCTTTGATCTTCCATTTGAGTATAAATATTGAGCTTGTTTTGCATAATAGTTGGGCTTAGAGCCAGGGTTGTTGTGAAGATAGCCCTTTGAAGTATGTTACAAAAGCATTAAGTAGGCTCCGATTCTTTTGTGACAATAAAAGAAAATTTGGTATTTTTCTTTTCCCATTAACAGAGGAATCGGGACAGAAATATCTACTATGAGCCTCTGATTGTGTGTATTTTTCTTCCTGGAAAGGGAAGAGGGCACTTAATTTTAGATAATATGCCTAATTTATTTAAAAGAAAATCAGCACTTCCTGCTTTTCTGTCTTTGGAAAATAATGAATGTTTTGAATCTGAAATCTCCCCAAACCGTGAAGGCATAAGCAATCTAACTCAAGTTGTGTGGTAACTCTAGTTCCTGTTGCAGGAAGAAATCTAAGTTTCTGTAGTGCCAGTTCCATACTTATGTGCTATTGTAGTGTCACAATGTTTAGAGGTGGACGATTTCTCAAAGGGGAGATTGTTGCTTAAAAACATCTTTTACTTCAGAAACAGGGATTCTGTGAACCAGACAAAGTTTGTTTGCACTTGCAGATGTAATTTAGGTTAGGTATTTTTATTTGGTAGACTGAACATCGGTAGTAAGCTGTCTGACCAATGAAACCACTTGCAAGTCAGGGTGATCTATCTGGCTCATTTTTACCTGCCTAGAATATAAGTGCAATGCTCTGTGCACCATTGTTTGGAGTTAGCGTTGTTCCTAGATGATGGCTGTGTCATTTTTTTTCTTCCTTGTGCTTCTTTTAGGTCTGGAAGGCTGTGGGTTGGAGACTGATTGCTCTCTCTTTTGGCCTTTATGGGCTCCTTTATGTATATGAGCGCCTCACCTGGACCACAAAAGCAAAAGAGAGAGCTTTCAAACGGCAGTTTGTAGAGTATGCTGGTGAGAAATTGCAGCTCATCGTCAGTTATACGGGTTCTAATTGCAGCCACCAAGTCCAACAGTGAGTTGCCTATATTCAGCTAAAACCTTACCTAAATTCTGTTGTTTGAGTTTTTTAAATTATATTCCTTGTTAAAACAAGATAAGTCCGCATATTGAAATCCAGATTTAAAAATGTGTAATGATACATGTGTTTTAAAAGAATATTATGTTTTTTTGAATCACCGATGTAGTATTCAGGTGCTGTTAAGCATTAGTCTTAATGTACTTGGGTCTCTCAAATCAAGTTGCTCTGATGCTCTAACGTATTCTTGTGCAAAAGTGGAAAGATGAACATCTGAGTCAGTATCATTATCACTATAGAGCAAAGGGATTTATTCCTTGAATTTGCTGCTTAATCGTACTTTTCATCGTACCCAACTACTCTCTGTTTTGTAGAGAGCTTGCTGGAACATTTGCTCATTTGTGTCAGCAAGTAGATGTCACACGGGAGAATCTTGAGCAGGAAATTTCTGCTATGAATAAAAAAATTGAAGTTCTGGATTCACTACAGAGCAAAGCAAAACTGCTCAGGTGAGATTTTATTATCCCATATACACAGATATTTGCATACAAGTGTTTTTCACGTGATTGCCCCAAGATGTTCAGATTAGGGTGTATCTTTAAGTGCAGTCTGTCTTCCGTCATAGTGTTAGATGTGCAGACATCAGCATCTTTCACTACCAAGTCATGTTCCTTTTCACTATGTACTTTCCCATGTAATGTCTACAGTCATTTAAATCTTCTGTCTCACAAAACACATTTTCCTTCTTGTTTTTGGTTTGTTTGGAATTACTGTTCCTTTCCACTTGTCAAAACATACAGTCCTCTACTCCTACAAACTCCTTCAGGCTATTATAAAATTATGCAGAAAGTCTCGCCCTCACCTGTGTACACAGTTGTCTGGTGTTTTTCTTCACCCTGCAAAGCTGTCGGGAAGAATTTTTCAAACATTCCTTATCCACACAATAAGATTAATGTGAAGTTGTGACTGAGATCTCCGTTTGAACCTCAAAGCCTAGGGATTGTTATCAGGCAAGTGTTCCTTACCTGAGGAAGGGCAAGGAATGGTAGCAGCATTTTGGAATGAACCCCTGGCACTCCTCTCCATGCCTTGCTGTTTGCTTGTTTTAGTCATGCTTCTTTCAGATGGGCTTGAGAAGAGCTATTTTACCTAATGGAGACTTTTTGTCCTTGTAGGAATAAAGCGGGTTGGCTTGACAGTGAACTCAACATGTTCACGCATCAGTACCTGCAGCAAAGCAGATAATGTGGGAAGAAGAGAAAAACAACACTGTTTCCCTTCAGTGCTCTCTTAATTACTGCAGAGAATATGGTGGGTGATGGAATTCCCTAAAAGGAATGAGCAAAAGCCTATTGCTATGTTTCCAGTTGCTGTGTGAACAATAGGATTCTGCTTTCCCATTTTGTGTCCCACCTCTAAACACTAGCTGTTTATAACTCTTCTTTTTCCTTCTTGTGAGACCAGGCTACTTCAGAAGGAATGTGTGCTTCATGCATTTACAGGGGGCTTTTTAAAGCAAAATCAAGTATGGTAACAAATTCAAACAAACAAGTGTTTATCAGGTTGAAAGTTATTCTGACACGTTTTTATGGAGTCATTCATTTACTATGTGAAAGTAGAACTTTTGACTTCCAAGCCCCAAGTTTATGTATGTATGAGAAGCAGCTGTTTGTCTAAACACAGATCCTGTGCACACAGACATAGTGATGGTTTCGCAATGCATTTATAGCCCATACAAGCCTATCTCCTAGGTTAATATTCCGTTACTATAGAACATGACAGAGAATCACCGTGTCCCTTCATAGAAAGGTTTATTACTGTCAGTATGTTTAAACCTGTGAACCCAGTTCTCTTCCAGAGCAAGAGGGACTAAGACTTTGCTTTGGTAACCTTATTGTCTTTGGAGTTAGTTTCTTCCTCTTAAGAGCTCTTTAATAATGCAGTCGGGCACATTTCATGTCATGGACAAATAGTTTGCAAAGACATAACCAGTTCCTGTGAAGGAAGTAGCGCTGATAATTTGGCGGTTTGTTGAGAAAGAAAAATAGGAAAGAAAAGCCAGTTGACAGAATGTAATGAACTGCCTTATGAGATAAGTTGATGAACGTGGGGTTTTTTTTGAAATGCACAGCTGTGTTTCTGGAAGCAGGCCTTCGGAATTCCATTACCGCTATTTGGTCACCAGAACAGCATGCGGATTACAAGCTGTAAGAGATTTTGCTTCATGTAGAGTTCCCACGCAGTAATATGATTTGATTTTGTTTCTCTTCTGTTAAAAGTATGGAATAAGCTAGCAAGTGCAGCTCCTGTGGGGCAGGAGGGGAGACCTGTCCCTTGTATTTCAGGCCAGGGCAAGAATGGATTAAGGCAACTTATTTTTTTAAAGGCATTCTTTATTTGCAAAAAGATGAAATTAATCATTGAGTTTTGCCCTGAAGCAATTTTGAATTTCGAGTATAAGATTTGGGAATTGTAAGGACTTGAGTCTCTTCCTGTTAATAGAGGAGAAATTCCCACTGATTTCAGTAGTACCAGGATTAGGTTCCTATGCTTCAAAGCTTCTTTCCCATTTGATGGGTCAGTATTTTGCCATGTGTTGGGTATAACCTTTCTGTTCCCCACAAAATGTCTGAGGAATCCAGAATCAGATCCTTGTAGTTCTGAGGTCAGTGACAACCTAAATCTGTTCAGCATCAAACTTTAGAGAATGTGGGGCTATCTTTGAGCAGGTCCCAGCTGAATTCAGAACTAAGCAGTGGGGTTTTTTTACTTATTGACAATGAGACTTTTCACTTGAAAATGGTATCAGCTGGTCTTAAGATTTCTCATTCATGCTCAGGTATGAATATATGTGCCTGTGACAAGTCCCCTGTTTTGTGTGTTGCAAAAGTTCAAGAAAGAAGAAGCTGCTTGGCACCTGAGGGAGTAAAAATAGTGAAATGTCAGTAAGTACTTTAGGCTGTTCTAAGATTTGCAGTAAGACTTGAAGTATCTTGATCATGTAGGAGCTGGCAGTGAGACTTTTGTTATGTCCCTGGAATGCAGGAGGCAAACAAACCTTTCACTTGCAGTAGACAGCTCAGAATCCAACCCAAACTGAAAAGCCATTTTCATCAGAGAGCTTCACTGGCCTTGGTTGGTTTCCTCAGGCAACCACCAGAACGTAATATGGCTTGGATCAGATCTGAGAATGAGTAAGAAAAATTTGAGTCCTTACCTCTGGAATTGTGTTCTCTAGGCTTGTGGTGAAGTATACCGGATTAAGTGGAATCATCCACTGTTATTCTGTTGCAGGTATTATGTGAATAAATTCAGATCTCTAGTCTCTCAAGGTATCACACATACCTTTATAATAAGCTATTTACTATGAGTTAAAACATTAAGCACATCCCTAATACCCCAGGAAATTGTTGATTCCAGGTAGTGGGAGATGATGATGTACTACTGCTCAGCAGCAACAGGCTACCTGAAATGCTGACCTGGCTTTTGAAAACATGCGCTGTTAGCTCTCTTCAGCAGGCCTTTAGGGGAAATCTGATAAATGATCTGATCTTTAAGCCAGTGTCTGATCTGTAAAGCGAAAAAAGATCGATGGGTTCATAGAATCTGGTGTCTTGCCAATGTGTGTGTTTCTGACACTGTTCAGATTTCAGTGATGTAGGCATTCTCACTATAGTGTTGAAACCTAACCTATAGAACGGAGGAAAGACCCACTTGAATTTTTTTAAGAAGCAAAACTGCTAACATGGGAGAGAAGAATTTTTAAGAATGTGTGTAACCCTTGTCTGTAGACACCCGAGTGGTCGAGAATCAAACTTTTAACAGAAAGGCCTATGAGCTGGGTTGCTCTTAAACAAAATCCAGCTGTACTTCTTTAATTCAGAGTGGTGGAGGAATGAACACTATTAGCAAGGAGGCTCTTCTGCTTTTCATAAAGAATGATAAACTAATCCTTAGAACAGGTGATTCCAAAACCAATCTTCCCCAAACTCTTATTAAAGAAGGTCAGCTAAATGCACTTTATCTTATTGCTGCTACTTATTTTTCTCATTGTGTTATGTTGATGGAGCTCTTCGAAATACTCTTACCAGTGAGTTTTCTCTCTGCCGTATTTAAGGTGATAAATTTGCATGAATTATTCCTGTATCAATGCTGTAAACAATGGAAACCAAAATAAAAATGAATTGGAAAAATATTTCTCCTGGTATGTTCTGCATGTCATGATACAAAGTCCTCAAGAGTAAGTATAATATATTCAGATGATGATATGCTACCGTGTTCTAGTAAATTGCATGTTTGACAATAGTGACCTTTTATTTGCATTCTTACTATGAAAATTAACAAGGAAACCAATGATACTGAATTATCTGATAGAAAGTTTGAGAGATTCCTTCTTAAATTGTACTAAAACCGTCAGTATTGAATCAGTGATTTCTTGAGAATATCGTAGGAAGTAAGGGTCAGCAAATACAGTGTTAATAGTCTGAAGTTGTGGTGAATTAGTATTCTCAGCCGATAGATTACGTTGTGCGTGTTAGAAGAGAAAAAGCCCGATTTCCAGTGATAAAATTTCAAAATGGCTGCCTTCTGGAGGCGTTGGGCGTCCGGGCTCCGTGCAGACAATGAGCCGTGGCGATTTTTTGACCCCCAAAGCAGGGAGTTCGGACCCGTGTG